ATCAGGTTATGAGGCAGGACCAGGCTTCAAAGCCTGTCCCTACCCCAGGTTTTCCCTGGATTGCTCAAAATAAATTTCAGAGGTCTTTTTCTCTCAAAGGTCTGCAAGAGATGCTCTGCTGCTTCCCTCTGGGGGTACTAAGTGCCTCAGCCCTTCACAAGCCTTGTGCTTGTCCTTCAGCAGTGGTGTAGGCTCAGCCAAGCCTGTGTCCTGTCAGGTGGATGATGCCTCAGCACCTCAGGTCTCACACTCTCGAAAGCACTCATGGGCTTCCCTTCCAGTGGAATACAAAGGGGAGCAATGACAAAATATCCATCAAAGTCAGGCCCAGCACACACAGTTACACAGCAGCACAGTCTCAGATCTGGCAGCTGTCAGGAGCCAGCAATGCAGTGGCCGGGATCAGGAGGAGACGAGATATGTTTGATTGGTCAATATATGACACAACATCCTGATTTCTCTGGTTTTATTTCAATGTTATATGCATTTTTTTCTGCTGTGCATCCTTTTGGATGCATCCCTCAGTTTCAGCAGAAGGGGGAATGTCTGGCTGCTGAAACAATCCTGATCACCTTGTGCCAGTCATGAACGTGCTGTGACAGTCAGGGCGCCTCCCGTGACCTCACAGTGTGCATGTAGAGGCAGAGGATGGGACAGAAAATGGCAAAAAGGGCTCAATATTTCCATCCACAGCATTATGGATCTGATTTTCTCTCGCAGCCAAACAAAGCATCGATTTATAGAGCAACCACTGGGCTGTGCTGAGAGTGCAGTAGATATTTTTGAGGTACCTTCCAGTGGAAGCTGTGTGGTACCTCAGCAGGTCACCTCTGCAAGGGACTGTGGCATGAGCCTCTCTGCATGGCAAGGGCCCCAGGAGGGCCAGCAGAGCTCAGGGACAGGAGGGAAGTACCTGTCCCAAAAGCCTCTACGTTTTCTCCTTATCCAGTCCCCAGGACAGAACCACCCACGGGAACGGCTGCCAGGAGCATTTTGGGAGCCCGCCGAGCCCAGCGCATCCCGGGACCCGCGTGTCGCTCCGCGCAGAGGTTCAAGTGCCATCTAGTGGCACTGGGCCCGTGGGACAGAGGAGCGTCCCCAGCCCCTGGCAGCGAGCCTTGCCCTGCCCAGCGCCCCCCAGCCGCTCTCCCCTCCTCTGCACTGAGACCCTTTGCCACCACCCCGCAGCCCCTTTCCCCACCTTTGTGTGTCTCCTCCCCCGAGCTCCACCTTCCTCTTTCTCCCGCTGTCTCACGTCCCCCCTTTCCCATCCATTCCCGTTCCTCCACGCCGGCTCTGGGCTCTGGCCGCCTCCCCCGGGCTCGCTCACATCGAGCAGCAGGCTCCAAGGGCCGGCACTGCAAAGCCACCGAAGGACTCATCTCCCGACAGGCTCACAAAGCAGGGAAATGGCTTTGGAATGGGACTGTCTGCCCTGTTCACACCCCTGAGTGTCTCTGTTGTCACCCCCATGCCCTGTCCCCCCTGTGACACCCCCAGGGTGACTGCCCAGCACTGGAGCTGCACAGGAGCTGCAGCAGAGGTGCTGTTGGCCCCCCAGCAGCTCCCCAAGGGTGCCTTCCGTGGGACCTTGTCAGTGGCAGGAGCCACGAGGGGGCTCCAGGAACCCATCAGAGATGGGGGAGAAATGCCAGGAGCAGAGCCTGCATCTCCCGCAGGACTGAGGCAAGATGTTAAGACAGAGCTCACATTTCGTCGAGAATGAGTCTTCTCCAGCATCCCAGGTGAGAGAGAGCAGAGGAGCTGCCACAGCTCAGACCAGGAGCAGGATCTGCCAGCACTTTTGTCCCTGTCACATGCACCGTGACAAGCAGCAGTGCATGCATTGCAGTGTGCCCAGGCTGTGCTGTGGGCTGTGCTGGCCTGACCCAGACAGCAGCAGGGTCTCAAACATTTGCAAGGTATTGGTTTGCAGTGTATGACCATTTATTCCAGTCAGAGACTCACCCCACAGTCGTATTCCTGTGGGTCCATGCTTATCCCTCACATCTGTTTTATCCCTGTCTAACTCCACTCAGTCTATAATAATAATAATGGTATTATTTCAAGGAGGTGAATTTGTCCCCAGCATTAAAGAAATGCTTTGGGCAATTGCTGAGCTCAGTCCTTGATGAGCATCATGGGCATGAAGAAGTAATTCCAGAAATGATCTCTCCAATATGGGACATATCAGTGAGAAAGGAGGTCCAGGCCTGTTTGCTGACCTGTCACAGTCTAACTCCCCTGTTCCAGCAGCACCTGGGGAAGAAAACACTCCTTCCCAAAAACTCAGCATGCCCACTCTGGTCACTGCATGGTGAGACCTCAGGTAATATTTTTGCAAGTGCCTCAGTAAGGTGGGACATGGCCCCACAGCCCTGGCGTCACTGGTAGCTGTGAGCCAGCTGGATATTTCAGGTAAAGAGCAGGTAACAGCACATGAGACCTTGCCTGGACAGCACCAGTTCTTCTTCTGGTGACCTTTATTGCCTTTACCCTTCATGGACACTTCTCACAGCTGTGTCAGTGGCCAGGCCTGGCTATGATGAGCCCTCCTCTCTATCAGATGGGAATAGCACTGGAGAAGGCTTTGCAGCCAGAACAGCTTCTGCACCACCTTCCCTTTGCAGGTCCTCATCTGCCTCCCCACCAGCAGTCACTGCAGCACAGGTTTATGCTGCTACAGAGGCCAACCAGGGCTGACCTGCTGTAACCCAGGGAGGCAGTGCACTTAGCCAGGCCAGCTCCTCAGGGCTCCAAGAGGACTCATTTGGAGATCAGGGTCCCTTCCTAGAGGATTCAGCAGTGTAGCTGTTGGGGCTGGAGTTTGGAGCAGGAGGCTGCAGGTAATTTTAAGCACTTGGGTACAGCAGAATTGAAGTTGTGGCCATGCAGCCACTGCCCCTCAACTTTCTTTAGGAGCCCACAGTGTCTCAGGTAAGATTTGGCTTGGAAAAAACTGAGTCCTGAGCTGGTCAGCATGAGCTTTCAGGGAGATGTGATTCTGCACACCAAGGGGGTTGGGGGACAGGGACAAGCACTGGATCAAGAAAAACCCCTAGGATTCAGCAGCCTAGTAGGGAAACCAGCTCAGAGAGCTGCTGATGGGATCTGCAGTGTGCTGCCCCTTGGGCATCCTCTCCTGCCTTCCAGAGCCTACATGGTCAGCATGGATGCTCTAAGCCCATGGTGAATCCACCCACATGGTGCAAAACCCTGCAGAGCTTCTGGTACCACTTTACACTTCCCAGTCCAGCTCTGAAGTGTAAACATTGACTTTGACCCAAGGTGGTCTTGAAAGAATCATTGGCAGGCAAAGAAAATCTGACTTCAGAATTAATACTTCCCCTGAATTAGAGAAGCCATTCCAAAAAGCTATAGAAGAGTGTCATGATGGAAAAATTAATGCATAAAGGACCCACCCTGCAGAAGAGGCAGGGAAAAAATAGATCACAGTGTATTCAGGGCTCAGACAGGACCACACTTGCCTGCAAAAATAAATCCTTGCATTTGACACATTGCTTACATATTAATTAGTTTGATCAGCTTGCCTGGGTGTGTTAGCATGAGAGCTCATGTCTGTTTAGTGATAAGCTGTTAAAACTTTCCAAATAGAGCTAGAAATTATGGCAGACTGAGATCTTCCCTTTACTCAAGGCCTTTCTCCTGTTTTTCTAGTGCTTTTCCACCCATATTTTTCTATTTTCTTTCACTGTGTCTCTTAGGTACCATTTATTTCTCGGTGCAGAACCAGAGACTCACGGGAATGAGAGAAGCAGCTTCTTCATGGGAAACCAAGGAACCATAACCCCCCAAAATACAAAGAGAAGAAATGGAAAAAGAAAATTTTACTTTTTTTCTCTCTATCCCCTTCCCTTCCACCTTCTCTAGGATTGCTGGAGGGGTACAGCCTGTGCAGAGGCACCATTGCCCCTTTAAGGGCAGCGCCACAGCCTGACACCAGCGAGCTGTGAGCCCGGGAGGGCCGGGAGCTGCTGCTCCCGGAGCGGTGCCAACACATCCCTGCTTCCCTGCCTCTTCCCGGCCCTTGTTTTCGTGTGCCTTTCAACGTGCCGCATGTCTACCCGTGCCTGCCAGTGGATATCTGCGGGGTTTACATTAACCAGCTCAAGCTGGAGCTGGTAAACACCTATTAAAGTTTTGCTCCTCGTGCGTACAAGGAGATTTCTGAATGAGGGAGTCGCTTGCATCCTTTGACGTCCTACGTGCCATTCCCTTATTTGCAGCCCGGACAGATCTTCTTCCCACTTAGCTATGCAGACAGGGGAGTTTGGGTTGGTTTGTGCCTGGCACAGGGAGGGGAGATCAATCTCCCGTGGCTTAGCGGGGAGTGTTCATGTTTTTACCTGTTTCCTGAACGGGAGGGAGTCAGGCTTAAAACACTGATACTTTGGTGTTTAAAGTTTTCACTCCTGAGCAGAGTCCACTTCTAAAGCTGCTCTTTTGCCCTGGGACAAAATACTGAATCTGGCAATTCCTCAGTTCTACAGGAGGATGCAAATTTGGGCTTGACTTTATTCGGACTGTCACAGTTCCAAAGTTTCTTGGAAGCCGGATCCCCATCCCAAAGGCTGCTCGGCACTAAGCAGAGATGCTGAAAGCAATTCCCGAGCGCCGATCCCAGCGGCAGCACCACCACTAAAGCTATTTATCCCGGCACAGGTTTTTTTGTTGTTTTTTTTTTTCCGCACATTCTTGCCTTCTCTTTTTGCTGGAGCCTCAGACCCTATTGAGAGGCAAATTTTAGCCATCTGGCAAAGCAGGCTGTGAGAGGGGAGAAAAAAAAAAAGAGAGAGAGAGAGAGAGAAAACACAATGTGCATGGGCACACACACATACACAAAACTCTGGAGATTAGGGAAGACAAAAACTGCGCTGAATGCTGGAGCGCAGGGCAGCCCCGCGGCGGAGAGGAGGGAGCGGCGGGCGGGGAGGAGGGCTCGGATGCGGGCAGGTCTGCCTGCCTGCCTGCCTGCCTGGATGTGGGGAGCGGCTGCAGGCACGGGAAGGCGTGACCTGCATGGAAAATGCCAGACAGCTCCAGACGCACACACACATAGGCGCACACACGCTCGCAAATCTCCGGACAGAGATAAGGCGGACAGCGGAGCGCTGGGAAAGAGGCAAAGCCGTCCCCCGCAAGGATCGAGCCGTCGATCCTCCGCACCAAAGCCGCCGGGAAACTCCCCCAGCAGCAGAATGAGGTGAGTACCCCGCACGGGCTGAGCACGGGCACGGCCGGGCAGGGGGGTGCGCTGCTGAGGAGGGATTCTCCACGATCACCGCGGCTCCAGTTCCCCTGTCCTGAGCGAACGAGGCAACGCTCACGGCCCGGCTTCGTGCCGCAGCCCGGCTTGCACGCCGGCATCCCGGCAAAGCCGGGGGACATCCCAGCAAAACCAGAGGGACATGCCGGCAAAACCAGAGGGACATCCCGGCATAGCCAGAGGGACATCCCAGCATAGCCAAAGGGACATCCCAGCATAGCCAAAGGGACATCCCAGCAAAACCAGAGGGACATCCCGGCACAGCCAGAGGGACATCCCAGCATAGCCAAAGGGACATCCCAGCATAGCCAGAGGGACATCCCGGCACAGCCAGAGGGACATCCCGGCACAGCCAGAGGGACATCCCGGCAAAGCCAGAGGGACATCCCGGCACAGCCAGAGGGACATCCCGGCATGGGCACTGCTCTGCCATGGCCGAGGTACAGCGAGGCAGGACCTGCATCGCGGGCTTCGGGTTTCTGTGCACACCACGGTCATTTATCACTTTCACATGAGGTTAAGAGTTTCCTGTCATGAGGAAGAAGTTTGATGCTGTTTGGCCTCCCCTGCTTTGGAGAAAGCAGAGCTGCACAATGAAACAGCCTGTTGAAATGGAGGAGGTGATGCCCATTGCACCAGCTCAGCATCCAGCCCCGTGCATGTACTCTGACCAGAGGAGTAACAGTTTTTCCCTTCACACATTTTTGTGGTTTCAGAACAGCTGTCAGAAAAGGGCATGTTCAACCTCACTCTACTTGAAAGAAAAAACAATCCAAATTTCTCAGCTCCCATTTACTTTTCTTTGTAAAGAAGAGCTGAGAAAAGTGATGGCAGTATACAAATGAACCCCAGAAATTTGCTGCCCTGGTTTTGAAAGAACACAGACAGGTTAAAAATAATCCACTAATGCAGCTTCAATTTCTTCACCAGCATACCTAAATCAAGCCCTGATTTTGAAACCAGGTGTACATGTGAGTAGTAGTTCCAATGTCTGTTGTATACACCTACAAGCCTTTGCCAGGCCTTAGTGCCTATTTTAGAAATTTTAATGGCTCTTATTTCCTGCATGTTTCTTTTCCTTTGTATGCTCCACTATGTGTAAAGAGTCTTTCTGGGTCCTATGCAACAGCACAGGATGTTGTGTTCACACCTCCAGCATGGGTGGTGCTCTCTCCTTGTGCAGAGGAATACTCAGCTCATGCTCCCTTTCATGGCAAATGAAGCTCGAAGCTGCTGGGAAGTCAGCTGGACCACCAGAGATTTACCTGTGCTCTCTGCCCTCCTCTGGGATAAATAAATTGGTAACAAGTTGGGACAAACTCTTCAGACTGAGATTTTTTTAAAAGAGGGGTTTGATGACAAAACATCTTTATGAATCTCAGCCTCTGGAGAAGAGAAGAGAAGAGAAGAGAAGAGAAGAGAAGAGAAGAGAAGAGAAGAGAAGAGAAGAGAAGAGAAGAGAAGAGAAGAGAAGAGAAGAGAAGAGAAGAGAAGAGAAGAGAAGAGAAGAGAAGAGAAGAGAAGAGAAGAGAAGAGGAGTAACATGCAGGGTTGCAAAGCTGAGGCCTGGTTCCATCTCTGCCCAGCTGCAAAGATGTGTGCTATTTACTGAGAGTTAATGATCCCAATTTGGCAGGATGAGGCTCAGCAGTAATAGTGATTATAATAATAATAATAATGATACTTAGCAGTTATTGCCAAGATGCTTTCACTAAATCGATTTAGCAAGCATCATTATTTTATTAAGCATGCTTATGTTTATTCTTCCATTAAATGAAGATTTGCCCACCAGAGCTCCATTAGTTCAGGGATGTGTTGCCAATGGCTGCTGCTCCAGCAGCATGGGAAACACTGAGCTCCTGATGGCACTTCAGGCTGGCTGGGAGCTGTGGAGGTGCCTTTGCATCACTTGTGGCACCTGTGGCACCCACCTTCCAAAGGAGCTTTCCCCTCATGGGATCCACATGCAGATCCCACCTGCACCTCCCAGGGGTTGCTCATGGTGCCATGGTGCTACACCTCCTCTTGCACGATCCACTTGGGAAAACAGATGAGCCTTCCACAGCCACTGTCACTGCCAGAGTTTCATTTCATCCCCTCACATGTGTGTTCCAGGTACCCCCTGGCCTGGCCCTTCTGTGCCTTGCTGCTCTGTGTGGCAGATGCTGTGGAGCTGACAGAAATGTTTGGGGAGATCCAGTCTCCCAACTTCCCCGACTCCTATCCCAGCGACTCAGAAATGACCTGGAACATCTCTGTGCCTGATGGATTTAAAATCAAGCTGTACTTCATGCATTTTGACTTGGAGTCATCCTACCTCTGTGAATACGACTATGTGAAGGTGAGCTGTGACATCTCAGGGCAGGTGGTGGGATAGACAGCAGAGCTGCTTGGCCAGCTGAGAAAGGGTAGTGCTGGAAAAGCTGGGAACAAGACATTTTCTCCATTTTATTGGGCTCAAGAGTTGTCAGTCCAGTTGATCACAGGGAGAGCACAGGTAAGCTGACAGTATCCACTGGACCAACCTTGAGTGGGACACCAGAGTCAGAGCTTACTCAGAGATGAACAAATTTCAGAAAGTATTTGGGCATCTAATTCTTACTGCACACAATGGGATTTTCACACCTCTGGGCTGATAAAACACCTGTGGCTAAACACCAGTTTGTGCCACTCTGATGCCAGCAAGGAGATCCCCTGAGCTGGGCACACTTTGTCAGGCCATGGCTGGGAGTGCCTCCTGCAGCCAGCCTGGATCCTTGGCCACACCTTGCAGGCCCTTGGGACACCCTGTCCAGCCCCACAGGAAGCAAAAGGCAAATGCTGGACCTGAGCTTGAGGCTGCTATGGAGGTTTCCAGGGAGCTGTCATGACCAAAACCTCCAAATATTTGTCTGCTTCTCTGCTGGGTGGTAACCCACCCAAAACTGTGGTGGCCTCACACTGCAGTGCTCCAGAGCAACCTTGTCTGTAAACCACGGGTTTCTCCAAGCAGGGTTCTCCTTCACATCCAGGACAAGGGTGGCTCTCCATATCTCTGAAGCTGTTCAAGTGTGGTGCTTCTGGCAGATCAGCAGTAGCAAGCGGGTGCTTTCTAGGTTGAACACACCTTACATCATCACCAGGACAAGCTCCACCCTGCTCCTTCACACAGAGGCAGGTGGAGCTTGCTCCCAGGTCTGGAACCACAGAACTTGGCCCTGGTGCTAGTTGCCAGATAATTGAAATTATTGTTTTATTCTTGCCCTAAGAAAACAAAGCAAACATTTGTGTCTTTTTTCCTCTAGGATCTGTTGCTCCCTGCTATAATTTCCCCTTTGTGCTGGCACTCACCCTGCTACTAACAGCTCTCATTGAGGTTTGATTAGCTCTTTCTGCTTCTCCTGGATCTTCTCCAAGCACAAGGGCCCAGGGACATATATAGAGATATATTGCTTTAAAACCCCAGTAAGCTCAAGGAACAGATTTCTTGGAAACTTTCCCCCTTCCAAGCTTTACCCCTCCTCCTGCCCTTCACCTCCTGCTCTTTTTTCCTTTTTCATAAGGCTCCCTGTTATTTGACCATGGTGCCAACTTGGCACCACAGCTCTCCCTGCTGCTGGATTTCCATAAGAAGGAGGTATTTTTCACAGGGATTTAGATCTCAGCTGTATAAATTTGCTCGGGGCTGTAACTCAGCTTGCAGAGCCTCCACCACAGAATTACATTTGGAAAGTGATGAAAATGGATGGATTCCAGGAGATCCAGAGGTTACTATGCTGGGTAAGGGTGCAATCTTGATGCTACTAAACCATTGACTTAGAAAACATTAAGGAGAGCAGTGAATGACTCTGTGGCTCTTTTCCTCCTTGGGTTTGTGTGTCCAGCTCTGTCTCCACCAATGCAAGCTGTAAAACCAGCATCAATCAGCCCCCTCTTTGACAGAGGCCACAGTGCATGGCTATAGAATATAACTGCACATACAGGTGCTTCTCTGTAATATTCTGCTGGTGACAGTGAGGAAGCTCAGAACCACAGGCAGAGCTCTGTGTTCCATGGTGCTCAATGGATTCCCCATCTATGAACTTGTACCATGGCTTTCTGAGCTCATGAGTAACTTTAATCTCTGCAGCACCACATGCCATAGAGTTAGACAGGTTAAATTTATGATTATTTGTTTCTGTGTGTGTGAAGAAACACTTTCTTGTTTGTTCAGGTCTTCATCATCTTGACTGCCATAAGAAGGAGGTTAAAAAGGGGCTGAGCAGGTGGAAACTCAATTCAGGACAGGCAAAAAGCCCCTGTGCCCTGGCCTTTGCTTCCCTCACCCCCTGGCTGCCCACACACCCAAGCTCTTAAGCAGTGTAGAAGCTCATCCCAAGTGGCAAGCTCAGGGTGATGTGAGCTGTAAACCCACACAGACCTCTGCCTTCGGGGTGGTCTGCAGAAGGGAACAGTTTCCAGAGCTCTGAAACAATGGCTAATTAAAACAATAGCTGTTTATTTATATATATGCACACGCACGCGTGCCCCTGTGTATATATGTAAAAAATGAACGTGGCTCCTAAAGAAATGCTCACAGCATGGGAGGCTTGTTTGTGCAAATGGGCATGGCAGAGAAGGGGAGTTGCACTTCAGTAATGAAGTGAGCCAGGAGGAATGGGAGGAACAGCCATCCCCAAAATACCCACCTGGAGAAGCCCCCCATGCAGGTAGAAAACTCCAATTTGCTGGAGAGGCAAACTCTGGGGCTCAGCACACTGGATACAGCCTCTCACCTTTGGGTGGCTGCTGTCAGCCTCCTGCCAGGTGCATGTGGACAGGGATGGAGCAGCCACCCTCCCTGGGCTGCCCTCTTCCTGCTCCTTCCCTTTGCTGTGCTGCTCAGCAGGCTCTGCCCAGCTCATCTCCATCCACAGGCAGCCAGTCTGGGGGTTCCTCATTTGGAGGGGATTTCACCATGATTTGCAAGCCTGCAGCACTGGCCCAGGGCACCCAAAAAGCCACAGCCCTGACTATAAAATCAGGATTATAAATGACTTGAACAGTGTCACTGAGGAGCACAGTGACAGGGAGATGGGCATCCTGGCTTCTAAGGGGCCATCATGAGTAAATCCCCAAGCTTATTATAGAGATCTGAGCCTGGGGAGCTGTGAGTGGGGTTTTGCACATTGCTCAGTCAAGCCCTGGAATGAAATCAGCCCCCAAGAGCTTGGCAGCCAGCTCCTTGGTTGGAATGAAGATGAGGGGACACCCCATCAATGACAGATGAGGCACTGGTGGGGCACATGCAGGACCAGGGAACAAGCTTGGTTTTTCATTCAGGGCAGTGCATGCCCAGTCTGGGGCTGCAAGAAGGGTGCACAGGGCCCATGTACACCTTCCTCTATTCAAACGAGGGAGAAAAAGCACAAATCAAGGTTTGGCATGAACTGGGGGTTCAGGAGGAGAGCATCCTCCTCTGGTCCTGTCAGCCAGCCTCAGCCAGGGGGTCATTCATTCCCTGGGAGTGTGGGGTCCCAGAAGGAGTACTCTGAACTGCAGGAGGCAGCTGGGAGAGCCCAGGGCTTTGCTGCTTGTATCTCCTATCCTGATAGCTCTCTGCAGAGGTGGCTGGTGGCACTGGTCATTCCTCCGTGCCACTGGGGACAGTGCAGGGGGAGGAGGGAGACCAGGCATGGGAGCAAGTCATCAGCTCTTGCAGGACCCCAGCATCCTGCCTGGTCTCTTTTCACCCCCAGCCCCTCCAGGGAACAAACCTTGCCCAGAAATAGGGCACGTGGGTGCAGCTACCATGCAGGAGGGGACAGTCTCTGGAGCCAAGCCAAATCCACAGCACAGGAAACCAGCTATCCTCCTTTATCACCCGCAGCAGAGCTGCCATCTATGTTCCCATGGAAATTCAGGGCAATTTCATGTTTGCAGCACATGAAAAGACCCTAGATGTATCTTGGGGAGAAGATCTCCAGGAGAGTCAGATGGAGGCTTTTGCAGTGGCTGTCCCTGCTTCACTCCCAGCAGTCAGTAGCAGCAGCATTGTGGAAAAAAGCCCCATTGCTCTGGGTGTTGCCTTCTTGCCACACTCTGCGGGGCCACTCAGCGGGGGCTGCTTCATGCCCTGCCCTGGCTCTGAGCATCTCCTCCCCATGTCATGTTCCCAGTGTCTTCAGCCCAGCACTGCGACTTCTCTGCCTAATGAGCCATTTATATATATTACAAGTGGTATGTTTGGCCTTCATCAGTCCAATTAGTGCATTCCTGGAGGGCTGCAGAGGGGGCGGGTGGCGGCTGTGTTTCCGTATTGCTGCTCCTCTCAGGCAGCAGACACCAAACTGCAGGGCCAAATTCCCCTCGGTGTTTCTGGCATTTCATTAACCCCCTGGCTGCAGGACGCACCTCCAGTGCTCCCAGGCATCCCCAACAGACCATGCCCTGGGACAGCATTTTTTCCTGCCAGCCAGGGCACCCCAGCTCCTTTGCCCAAGGGGGGAATCACTGTGGGGCAGAGAGGGGCCTCACAGCTTGGGACACCCATTAGCCACAGCACCAGCCCAAATGCAGAGGGATGGAGCCACAACCAGAGAAGGACTCTAATCTGCCTCCATCCAGAAGGGCAGAAGTCTTAATGAGGGACTGAGGATGCAAGAAAAAACAGGGAAGACAGCAGGAGGCATTGGCACGGGTAAATTTAAGGCACAAGGGTGTTGCTATATTTTATTTTTCAAAGGAAGATTCTTTCAGCGTATTTTTATAGGGAATTTCTCTGTGGCAATTGATATTTCCCTCAGGGACACATCTTCTCTAGTGAAAACGTCGACATCGTGACCCGAGAGGGAGAAACTCCAAACAAACAACCAGGATTTAATTACCAGCCTGCTCGCTGGATGTAAATGATCTACAAAAAAGTATACAGTCCCCAGCAGAAGCAGCAAATATTAACCAGGGATGATGACCTCTCTGTTTAGTTTACTGCTGAAGGGCTGCCTCTGCTCCCTGTGGCTCGGGGCATGGGACCCGTCTCAGATAAGGGGCTGTGGATACCTCCAGTGAGGAGAGCACAGCTCTCCCGGGGCCCATCCTGCTGCTCCAGGGCTGGGTCCAGAGATGCCGGGGGCAGTGTTGGGGCTGGCCCCATGGCTGCAGCATCCTCCAGCAGAGGCACAGGGCATTGGGAAGGTTTTCCAGCACTTTGGGAATGCTGCACTGCAGGTCCTGCACTCCCTGGGGCTGAAGGCAAGGAATGGGAGCTCACACGGTGACTCTGAGTCCTGGCAGGGGTGACAGCCACCAGCCCCACACAGAGCAGCTGGCTGGAAATTCCTCCTTCCCACAGATTTCCTTAAGAAAAAGCATTTTCTGTGGAAGGGGCTGTGTTCCACGTGCTGGCACTACCAAGTCTGTGCATCAGGGCTGAAATGCCTTTTTCCTTTGCTTCTGGTGATGGCACTCCTGTTTTTCAGTCTGAAACACTATTTCATTTCAAAACAATCTTTCAGATTTAAAAGCAATTCTAAAGCACCACAGTATATTTCAAAGGGATTGAAACCAGATGGAGCCCAAATTACTTGTTTTCTTTTTTTGCCCCAGAACGCTGTTACACACAAAAAAAAAATCAATTGGGTTTTTGTCCCCAAAGCAGGGTGCGTGTTTTTTCTCGAAATTCCCAAAATTTATCATCGGAAAGTGTCTCTCTTTTCTGGCCAGCTCCAGCTTGTATGAGAGGATGGAAAATATCTGGAGGCAATGTCAAGGCATGCTGAGTTGCCATTTCCATGTTGGCTTTCCCTGGTGTGAACGAGTTTCCGCCTGTTTGTTCAGCTCTGGGAAATTTCCCTTTCAGCCCAGACCCTCCCCAGCAGGCACATCCTGGGGGTCTCTTGGTGACAGGGATGGAGTCAGAGAAGGGTCTCTTCTTGCTGAGGCCAAGCAAGCCAGGGACAGCATTCCAGCACCTCCAGGACCCCACGGGCCCCAGCAGATGACTGTTTTCCCCAGGCATGTGCTGGGGGGCTGCAGACTTCATCACAGTCTCAATAGCAGTGGCTTGGCTCGAGCAGTGGTGGCTGCCTGGTGGTGCTCATCACATTCCTCTGCCGAGGCTTATTCATATTCAAATCCCTGGGGGAAAGCAGGCAGGGTGCTGGGAACTGCCTGGGAGAGGTCGTGGTTGAGACAGGGGCTGGGGAGGCGATGTGTAGGAGAAGGAGGTGGATCAATGCTGGAGAAAACAGCAAAGAAAAAGGAAAGGAGAGGGGTTTCCAGGGAAAACTGAAGGGTTTTCTGCAGGGATTACAGTGCTTTAAGGCACAGATCAGGCTCTGTTTTAAAGGGATGCACATAGAGACTACTGAATGTGCTGATATGACAACAGGGCACCCTGGCTCATCACTCCCCTTCCTCAGCCCTCTGGGTGCACGGTCAGAGTCCCAGCAGTGCCTGGAACCACAGCTCTGGAGCCAGACAGAGAGCCTGGGTGGAAGGGACAGGACCAAGCTTGTCCAAGGCAGCCCAAGGGACAGAAATTCCAGCTGCTGCTTTGAGCTGATGCAAAACCAATAGGCAGGAACTCCTCTGGGCCCCTCTCACAGATGGATCAGTGTTTGAGCCATGGGAAGAGGTGAGGGGAAGCATCTCAGGTGCCACCAACTCTGAGTGGGAATGACACAGCCCAGGGCTGATTTTCACATCCCTTCTTCTGCACTGCCACTCCATGATCTCATCCCATGTCCCAAATGAGCTCCCACCCTGCATCCTCCCCTTGCATCCCCCAGCTCCTCCCTACACCCTGGATGCCAGGGCTCTTGGCATCTGCCTCAGAGGCCCCTCCAGGCAGAACAGGCAGACCTGAGCCCCTGTGCCCCATGGAGACACTGGTGAGTCCTGGCAGGGGACAGCCTGGGCAAGCACAGGCAGAGATGTGAGCTCCTGGATAGAGAGGATGATTCCAGTCCCAGCCTGACCTCCCCAGGGAACACACAGCAGGCTCTCCAGGCTCACCCCTTCTTTCTGCCAACAGATTGAAACGGAGGACCAGGAGCTGGCAACCTTCTGTGGCAGGGAGACAACGGACACAGAGCAGGCTCCAGGACAGCAAGTGATCCTGTCCCCAGGGCCCTACATGGGGCTCACCTTCAGGTCTGACTTCTCCAACGAGGAACGCTTCACTGGCTTCGATGCCCATTACACCGCTGTGGGTAAGCAGCATTGGAGCCTGCAGGGCCAGCTTGCTAGGACAGGGAACCAGATTTGCAGGGACCACATCTCAGGTCAGCCCTGGGTTCTCTGGCAAGAGAAGAACTTATGTGCAGCCCTTGGGCCATGTGGGTGCTCATGTGACCCACCACATGGGATAACAGATTTCTCGTTGTTATGACAAATGTCCCCACAAAGGGTGACATGTGGAGAGCTTCAGGGTGACCTCCCTTCCTTGTTAACTCCATTACAGATGTGGATGAGTGCCAGGAGAAGAGTGATGAGGAGCTGGCTTGTGACCACTATTGCCACAACTACATTGGCGGGTACTACTGCTCCTGCAGGTTTGGCTACATCCTCCACTCCGACAACAGGACCTGCAAAGGTACCACAGGCACAGCCCACACCCAGGCATGGGCACACAGAGGGTCCCTGAGTAGGCATCCCACCTTCCAAGCACAGGCAAAGCAGCCCTTTTTTTGCTGCCAGGAGGGTGGAGGTGCTTCTTCTCCTACAAACCAGTAGTGTGGGTCTCCTTCTCCCAGGGGCTGTACTCCTCAGCTAAGCTCTGTAGATCTCCTCAAGTCAGAAAAATGAAAAGCTTTAGTCCCTGCTCTGAATCTGCATCATGTAGATTAGCTGGGACTAGCTCTCAGCCCAGGGCTTCTGTGCCATGGGCATATTTGGAAGTTGGCTGTGTGAGATTCTCCTTGCATGGACACATATTTGGGATCCATGTACCCACATTCGGAATCCATGGATCTACCCAATAGACCCCACTCCACTGGGAGGATTGCTGAGCATGGTCATGGCTGGGACACGGCTGTCAGGGCCCTGATGGAGCCACGGCTGTGTTTCAGTGGAGTGCAGTGACAACCTCTACACCCAGAGGAGCGGGGTGATCACCAGCGCCGACTTCCCCAGCCCCTACCCCAAGAGCTCGGACTGCCTGTACCGCATCGAGCTGGAGGAGGGGTTCTTCATCACCCTGAACTTTGAGGACAGCTTTGATGTGGAAGACCACCCCGAGGTGACCTGTCCATATGACCACATCAAGGTGAGCTGGGCTCTGTGCTCTCCTCCTCTCATACTCACCTCTTGTGTCCCCAGTGCTCTGGTGATGGGATCAGAATCGCCCCAGTCTAAACAGGGATGATAGAATCAGCAGGAGCCTTGTGCTCTAATCACCCCATGTCACTTACCACATCTGCTTGTGACCCTTCCAGCCAACAGTGACCCTCTTTCTGTTCACATCCCCCCTACACATGGTGCTTAAGCCCCACTCCAGCACCATCCATTGGCCTCAGGGATCAAAGAGCCCCCTCAAATCCCTCCCTCATCTTTGCCTTGGTAGATCAAAGCAGGCCAAAAGGAGTTTGGACCTTTCTGTGGAGAAAAGTCCCCAGGACGCATTGAAACCCAAACCAACAGCGTGCAGATCCGCTTCCACAGTGACAACTCTGGAGAGAACAGGGGCTGGAAGCTGTCATACTCAGCAATTGGTAACTCCTGCTGCTTTCCTGTGTGCTGGGCTTGGGAATGGGGAGGGCTTTATAAAGGTAGACAGCATGAATTTGGTAGTCTGTGATCCTGTCTCCAGAAAGGATCTGTTCCAAAAATCACAATAGGAGACGCATAAAGTAACATGGAGCCCTCCCTCCAAAGGATTTTTTTTTTCCCTACAACAACTGGGCTCTGAAACAAGACCATATTGCAGAGCAGAGCAATTTTGGGCAGGATAATTGCACAAGCTACTGTTATTAGCTCCCAGATTTGTAATGCTCAAAGACAGAGAATTACAGACTGAAGGAGAGACATGGAGACTCCATGCCTGGCTGAGCCATGCCAGTGTAGACTAAGGGTAAAAGCAGGGCAGAGATGCTCAAATTCTGCTACATGGGCTGGGTGGAAGAGCTGGGACTTTACATTTGCTCCATTTATTCCCCTGTTTAGCATCATTTGCTTTCTATTCAAAGGAAACCCATGCCCACTGGTGCAACCACCAATCAATGGGAAAATTGAGCCTTCTCAAGCCAAGTACACCTTCAAAGACCAGGTTGTCATCAGCTGCAACACTGGATACAAAGTGCTGAAGGTATGGGTTGACAACATGGAGCTGGGAATATGGGTAGGAAGAAGAGGATGCTTCCTCTCAGAGCCATTGCATCTCAGGGACAGTGAACACAACCACACATCATCCTCATCCCCTTCCCAGGAGCAAGGAAAACACCTCCTCTGAGAGCCAACACCTTTCCTTTCCAAAGATGCAGAGGGAAAGAGGAGATAGCACTTCCCTGAGCCACCCTCTCAGCATCCCTCTGAAGCCAGCAGCCTCATAGAATGTCAGGCCTGGCTCCCCTGCCAGAGAAAAAATCAGCAAAAACTCTGAGGCAGCTGCCAGGGCTCTGCCTGCCCCCCACCTCAGTGGGCACAGTCTCAGCAGCCCTGCAGAGTCCAGCCTCCACTGACTGGGAGGTCCTCGGGGACTTGGGGACAGCATTAGTGACTCAAGGGGGGCAGGACTTTGGCAGGCTCTCTCTGGGAAACAGCTGAGAACCACAGAGAGCATGGCTGACTCATGGGGTGGCTGTCTTCCCTCCAAGCCAGTAGCCCACTTTGACTTCCAACATGGACTTGGGTATTTCTCTGATCTCCTCTCAGTCCCATCCTTCGTGCAGAGCTGCCTCCTTACCCATCCCATCATTTACAACAGGAATAAGTGACTCCAGTTCTTTGGTTTTCAGCGTGCCACAGAGTTGCTGGCAGCAAGAAAACGCCTCAAGCTTTTCATTACAATTTTATTGCAATTTTTAGCTAAAAAAGTCCTCTTCCAGGGGATGCTAGCTATAACCTGACTAAATCACCAAAAAATTCCCTTTTTATTGAGAGATTTGTTTCTTTGCTTTGAACATTGATAGGCTGTTGGTTTTTTTTGTTGTTGTTGGTACCTTCTGCACAGGATAACGTGGAAAGTGACTCCTTCCAGATCGAGTGTCTGAAGGATGGCACATGGAGTAACAAGATCCCTATCTGCAAAAGTAAGGACACCCTTCCCTACCCTGCCAATGTCCTTTTCCTGCTAAAATCATTTCATGCTAATGGGAGCTGCCCTGCCAGAGTGGAGTTCCTTACTCAGAGACACAAACCCAGCCAGAGAGGCTACGTAACCCTGCAAAGCTCTTTTGGCTTGTTCTTGGATAACATAACGGGGCTCAGGCCAAATGCCACAAGCAGGAGATTGGTGCTTTCATTTAGATTACTCATAACTTGATTTGTGAGCCACTTTGCTGTCTCCCTGTCAAAGAAACAGCAAGCCTGGCTCTTGAGAACTGGCTCTGTCAGGTAAGCCTGCGACAATGTGGGATAGTCTAGCTCCTGGTCCAAATTTCCTTCCAAATGGAGGCTGTTAAATGCAGGGCATTGGAGAGGTACTAGCCTAAACTGAGCACTGCTCAGGTAAGTGAGAGGGGAGAGAAATATGTCCAAATATTTCCAAACCTTAAAATGGGAGAAAAGGAGAGAAGAAAAGAAATGCCATTTGAAAGGACAGGTGATAATTTGGATCATCTCTTCTCTCATCTAATCCAGCTCTTCCCTCAGCTCAGGTGTGAGATATGTACCTGATCACACCTTTTCCTTTTCACCCAAACATCTCAGAGCTCAGGGAGGCTCTCACTGCTGCTCAGTGCTATAAGGCTGGCCCAGAGAGGAGAAAAGCAGCAAACATGGTCAGAGATTGTCCCAGTCCTTCCAGGAGAGGCAGGAGGGGTGTTGGGATCCAGGTTCTTCTCATCTGGGCAGATGCTTTTAATAATTGTGCATCTTACCTTGGAAGAAAGAGTATTTCTGGAGTTCTAATTCATGTTTTCTCAGGCCAAATGGAAACTGGGAGGCTCTCAGACTTGCTAAACAGATTAATAACTGAAAGGGCTCCTTAAAAGCTGTGGGGTCAGTGATGCCTCTGCCCTACTGAGGAACGCCTCACTCCTACACTCTCACTACCACAAATTCCCATTGATTTTATCCAGCTTGAACAGTGATCGGAGAAAATTTTGTGTTGTCTAAAACAGAACAAAATCTAGGTAAATATTTTTAACACCAAAAATTATTAATTTTTTGAGAAAATGGAAATGATTACCTGCATTGTTCCAGCTGGGCTGGAACTAATCCCTTCTTGTGTAATATGACTCACTACACTAAATTTCTAAGACCTCTTTGAAAAGCCAAGAAGCCCCTAAATGGGTAATTTAGGCCTCTAGACTACAGACTTCCACCTTCCTGGGATGTCTGTGCGAGGCAGGGCACAAACAATGCAGAAAATAGAAAACTCCTCAGCAAAGTGGATAAAATCCAGCTCCATAGCCTGGAGAGGCTAAACAGAAACCTGTGACAGCTTCTCCCAGCCACTGCCCCCAGGTTGCCCTGGCTGAGCAGAGTGAGGGGTCCCCAGCAGGGCCGTGGCTCCGCTGGCATCCACAGCACCCTGGCACAGCTCACTGGGAGCTCATTAATGATTTCTGGTGTTTTGGGGGCTGGGTTTCCTGCATGTCTCTCTCTGCTCATCTACTAATTGGGCTTTCTCTCTCTGCTCTCCTCCTTCCCCTCTGCTTTCGATGCAGCTGCAGATAGAGCCGACAACCAGACAGAGGGAAGAGCCGGCTCAGAGCGAGTGGCCGCGTGAGGCTGGCGCCGGCCGTGCCGCCCCGACGGGCAGCCTGCCCCGATGCCCCTCTGATCTGTCCAGTACCCAGGGCAGGTTCCCTTTCCACTGGCCTGGCTGCCAAATCCATCTCTGTGGCTTGTCTAACCGGCATGGCACTCTTAACCCCCACGCCTGGTGCTTTCTTAACTCCGTCTCGAGAAGGGTGAAGGGAATGGGCGCCGAGCCCCCCTTTCCCACTGACACACTGCCCCAGGGGAAGGGAGCCCACTGGCCCCAGCACCACTGCCTGGGCACCATGTGCTGCTGCTGCTGGCTGCCAGCATTTCTGCATCCCTCCCTCTCCACTCGGACTCCTGGGCCGCCCTGGCTCCCCCCCCAAGGCAGCCGGGCAAGGACTGTGGCCTCCGGTTGGTGGGTTGGTGGGTTGGACTCAGTGTCCCACTGTCCTTCCTCACTGGCCCAGTGTTGCAAATAAGAAACACTCCTTCCCTTCCTCTCTCCAAGAGTCCTGGTGCCTTTCAGACCCTCTGGACAAGGAGGCCTGGAGGATGGGTTGACATCACCAGCCCTGTCCTGCAGGCACCAAGCCCTGGCACTGAGACAGGGGAATGGATGTTCCTCTGCTTCCCCTTTGCTCCCCATGGCTGGCCTGGCAGAGGTGAGGAGAGCCTGGCCTCAGGCTGACTGCAGGTGAAAGAGGCCAGAGCCTGGTATCTGGCCCCGTTCACATCCCCAGGAACCATGGGAACACACACTGTTCTCCCTGGGGCATTGGAGGCTCCACTTAGGAGGATGCTGGCATGTGGACCAGAGGCTGGGAGAGGAGGAGGAGGAGGAGGAGGTGTGTGCTGGGGACATCAGTCCACTTCTGGTCCTACAAAGACAGAGATGCTAAATGGCCCCTTTCCTGAGGGAAAACTCTAGAAAAGTTCACAGAAGGAATGCCCTCCCCTCACCCTTTCAGCAGGACCTGGGACACTGGTGCAGCAACACCTCTCTGCAAGAGCCCATTCTCCAGGGATCAGGCCTGCCCAGGTCTGAGGGGCACACAGGGATGAGATGGGCTGTGCAGTAGGATGTGCAACGAATGCTGCCCTGCAGCCATGAACAATCCCAGAGTAGAGATGGTCAGAATGGCCCCCTGACATCCATTCCCTCTTTCCTGCAAGAAAACAAGTGCCCAGACTCTCCACCCAGCCTGCCTGCACTACACACTCATCCCATCACTTGCTGTCTCTACAAACAGTGGAGGGGACCCTGGTGAATAGTGAGCTGCAGTATTTTGCCATAAATCAGGATTTTTCACCCAAGGAATTAGGCAATCCTGAGCAGTGGTCCATATCCCTGGTTCCAGCTATATGTCCAGTGAATTCTCTCTTTGTTAGCCTGGATCAGTTAGGACTGCTCTCCTCATTCCCTTCACATCCTGGAGCACATGGGAACCAACAGACCTCACATCATCCCTGATCCACAGCACCTGCTTACTGCAAAGTCACTGTTTCCCTACTCAGCCCCTAATCCTAAACACAGCAGAACCCAGCTGCACAGCACTGCATTTCCTGGCAGGATCAGACCCTGGTTCCTGCCCTCCACTGGGGCAGCTCACCCAGGATGGGGTAGGGGAAGGCTGCACAGCATCACCTGAATGTGCTGTGAACTGCCCACGTGGGAGGGAGGCTCAGCTCCAAGGAAGTGACTCCTGGATTTGGCAGATGAACCCTCCCACAGCCTGGGGTCCTCCCTGGAGTGTTTGGCACTAACCTAATATGGGGGACAAGCCATGGGGAGAGGCTGGGCAGAGCACTCTGGGGGGTCATGGGGAGAAAGGGAACCATGGACAGGCCATGGGGAAGGGCAAAATTCTTCTCCCTCTATCCCACCCTGAGTCAACACCAGGGACTGGTAAAGCAGAGCCATCCCTGCTGATGTCTTGGGGGATGGAGCAGGTTTGGTCTCACCCACATGTACTGGCCTCCCCCCTGCCTGCAGATCAGCCAAGCCACACTCTCCATGTCCTTCATCTCCTGCTGTCATAGGACAGCCAGGACCCAGGGCTGTTCCACCTGATCTGTAAATGCTCATCAGCACTGTTTGGTGAGCAAGACCAGAGCAGGAAGGACAGGGCTGTGCTCTCAGCAAAGCCTTGTGCACAGAGGAGCACCCCTGATGCACAGCTGGTGAATCACTGCCTGCCTCTCCCTGCACACTTCTACAGTGCAAAGACACACTATGGGACCATCTCACAGAGCTCACCTGCCAGGACAGGCTTGTTCCCCTCCCACTGGTGCAGCAGAGAGATCCTGATCCCTCATGGAGGGGCTTCCAGGCCTGGGGTCTCCACCAGTGGGAGTGTGGTCACACAGCCTGTGGGTGGGACACGCTGCTGGTGTTCCTGGTGCCACGCGAGTGCTCTGTGTGTGCAGGGTGGCCATGGCAGGGTTTCACAGAGCCAGCCTGCCCTGCCAGGACAGAGCCCCCTGCAGTGCCACAGAGAAAAGGGACACAGCATCATACAGGCCCTTGCTGTGCCCCACAAGAGCACCATCCCAGGCCAGAGCCCAGCACTACCTGCCTGCAGGCTGGCTGAACACCCCAAGATACAGCACAGGGTCCAACCCCCCTTCTGTGTTGGCTTTCAGTTGCTGACTGCAAGGCGCCACCGGAGCTGGAGCATGGCTTTGTCACCTTCTCCACCAGGAACAACCTGACCACCTACCAGGCAGCCATCCAGTACCACTGCCAGCACCCCTACTACCACATGGCCCCCAACAGCACCGGTGAGCAGTGGGGCCAGGTCATGTCCCCACGGCACAGCCAGGGTGGGATGCAAGAGGGGGAGCTTGGGATGGCAGCTCCAGGGTGTTCTGCAAACAGGCTGCACATACCAAGCCCTGTGTCTGCCCTGCCTGGACTGTCAGACTGGACAAATCCTGCTCCACAATGAGGTAGGATGGAGCTGGCCCTGCTGGCTGCTTTGCCTGGGTGTTTCACAGCCTCGGCAGAGCGGTGTGGGTGTTTGTTTTGCATTCTGCCTTCTCACCCTGCCATCTGCTCCCTGCAGACTACAAACTTTTCTGTGTCTCTGTGAAAGGAGCTGCTGCTGGAGAGAGTACCAGGTCCAGCAGCCTCTGGAAGGGCTCTGCAAGGCTCCTCATCCCAGCACCCAAATGTTCAGCACAGACAAAGCTGAACAGATAGTGGTGGGATCATATCAGACTGAGTTTTTCCTGCCATCCCCCTTAGTCCACAACCACAGAAAAACCAGAAAGTGGTTTATCAAGCACCACAGTTCTCTGTACCCTCCAGACCCAGCTCTGGACAGTAGAAAGGGTGCATACACAGCCCAGCCCTTCTCCCTTCTCCTCCCTCAGCAACCAAAGCCAAAAGAATTCTTCACATTCTTGTCTTCCTGCTTTTATCTCCCTGCATATGGTCCCAGCATCACATATGAATTATCAGAATGGGCATTGGCAGCATTTTTATATGGAGGCAGCTGCCAGCAGAGGCTGAGGCCATAGCACAGCCCTCCAGACAGCTCCAGGCAATGAAACTGAGGATGGAGACATGTCCCTGCATGGGGGCAGGGCTACCATGGCCAGAGCATTAAAAGGGAGGTCACTTCCTGCTCTGACAAAGGGTTCAAAGGGCCCTGACAGCCAGGCAAGGTCTCCTCACTGGAAAGGACAATCCCTCATGCCAGGACCAGAGCCCAGCTAACACTTTGCTCTCTTGCAGCCACCTACACGTGCGATGCGTTGGGGCAGTGGAGGAGTGAGGAGCTGGGGACCAAGCTGCCATCCTGCAGACCAGGTACTGTGCTGGGGTGGCTTCACACAGCCAGGGGTGCAGAGCAGGGACACAGGGAGGGGATGCTGCCATGCAGGAACCCTGCTCCTGGTGACAGTGCCAGCTATATATACCCAAGTGCCACAGTGCATGGCCAGCAGGGTGGTGGGGACAGAGGCTTCCTGCTATCCCAGCAGGCCCAGGGGGTCAGGGTGCAGTGGTGGCACTGGGGTCACAGCCATCCCAGCTGTCAGGGCTCCCCAAGCTCCCCACTCCAGCACACAAGGAAACCAGCATCCCACTGGCCATGCTCAGCTGCCAGCATCCCTGGAGATGGTTTTAGCCAAGAGCAGAGCATTACCTGGCTGTCAGCTCCTGTTGGCAGTGGGTACACATCCAGTAGCAATTATCACCTCTTCAAGCCTTCCAGAAAAAAACAAACTGCTTTACAGGGAAGGAAAAGTCCCAAGTCTTTGAGCAGTGGCAGAAATGTTTGCAGCCAGCAAGTTTCCAGGCCAGGCACCTGCTTGGGATTAAACAAAAGTCTCTGGGAGTTTCTGACCAAGCATGGGGCCAGACTGGCTGGCACGTCAGGGGCCTGGAGGCAGTTTGGGTGTGGGCTGTAGTGGGATGTGCAGGGATGGTTCTCCAGAGAGGTGCAGGCATCCATGCCATGCAGCAGCTGCAGCTGCAGCCACCCTGGGTTCAGACACTGGCACAATGCCATGGAGGGTATCTGCTCTCCAGCCATGCTGAGACACTGCAAGGCTAAAGGAAGGACTCCTAAGATTCTCTGCATCCCACAAAACTCCAAGACCAGGGCTGTGGCTGCTCTTGTTGTGGCAGCTGCTCTCTGCATCTCTGCTTGATGTTTCAGCCTGAACTAATTTGAGCTGGGAGCATACGGGGACAGCTTTGGGGCCATAGCTGCTTTCATGGGCCATTTCCAGGCCTTGTGATTAGTGACAGGAGTCAGAGAGACTTCAGGAAAATGGAAAATCCCAGAGAGAGGGTGACGCTCTCCTGAGATCGGCATCTGCCGGCAGCAGCTGGCCAGCTGCTCTTCAGATCTTCCCGTGTCTCACGCACCTCCCCTTCAATAGGAACCTCTCTTCCAGGAACCTCTGCTCCATGCCTGCCTCTGCCATTAGTGGGAGCATTTGCAGCCTGGTCAGCATTTTTGATATGTAATTTAATAAATATTTGGCTGTATGCACTTCCTCTAAAAGCATCTCCCTGGGACAGTCATCGGCTTCGGTGCAGCAGAGCAGCTGGGCTGGACACAGGAATTCTTTTCCTGAGCATGTTTTTGATTCCTTTCAGCACTGGGAAAGACAGGGGTGTGGCGCACATGCAGAGACACATTCACCATGTTCTCTCCCTGCTAGAATTACATTTTTCCTAGAGACAGACCCCAGCCTCAACAAATCCACAGTAGCAGCTTCCAGTGCTCCTGCCCTGGTTCCAAGACTGATTCTCACCCTGACCCCACCACCTGAGGGGTCAGAGCCTCTGTTTGTGAGGCTTTGCATCCTCCCCTCACAGCACAGGTGGCATTGAGGCAGAGTCCCAGCACTTTCCATGGAGGATCTGGGGTTTTTTGCAGACTGAGGGGGATGAGACCAGCACCTGAGTTGCTGTGATTTGGGACTCTTTCAGATGTAGGACAAGCCCAAATAGGCTTCCATAACCTCACAGTGACATCAGCATTCCCAAGCCACCTGAGAGTCATGTTCCACAGTGCTGCCAAAGGCAGGAATCAGCCCCACAGCCATATCCCAAGGCTTAAATTCCCCAGGGACAGGATTGTCCCTCCCCACCCTGTCCAACCTCTCAGAGCCACCTTCAGCATCCTGATTCCCTCATCTTCCTAACACCGTGCTTCTGGGAACAAAGCAGGCACCATGTCAGGGCTCTTCAGGCATTAATTCTGGTCTATTGAAGAGCTGAGCAGAGAGCTTCTGGTTTGGCTGCCAGAATTGTGGCTGATGAGACGCAGGAGTAAAGCCCATGGTGCTAGGCAACATCCCATGGCTGAGCCTTCTCCAGCCACAGCAGCTCCAGGAGGGCAAATGCCATGGCTGTGAGAACACAGACCTCGTGACAGGTCTCAGTGAGGGGTGAGACTGGGTTGATGTCAAGCTCCAGTCCTCCCACCATCATTCCCCTGGGTCTCTTGGCACACTGAGCAGGAGCCAAGCAAGTGCCTGAAAGGTCTGGGAAGGGCTGGGTGAGCTCACAGGTCACAGTGAGGCTGTAAGATTACTCATTTGGCCTTTCTGCTTCTGAAGTGGTGTGGATCTAGCCAAATCCCTCCAGAAACTGAAAATGGAAAAAAAAAACAAAACCAAAAAGGACAAAAGAGAGTGTTTGGTATGGAGATAACCAGCCACACGGCTCCCTTCATTTGTTCCCTAGATAAATAAGCTGGAGGTAACTGTGCTGTCCCTTCTGTCCCCAGTGTGTGGCCGGCCAGCTCGTCCTCTGCCTGGCATCATCAAGCGCATCATCGGCGGGCGGAACGCGGAGCCTGGCTTCTTCCCCTGGCAGGCCCTGATTGTGGTGGAGGACATGTCCCGGGTGCCCAACGACAAATGGTTTGGCAGCGGGGCCCTGCTCTCAGAGTCCTGGGTGCTGACAGCCGCCCACGTGCTGCGGTCCCAGCGGCGGGACAAGACCGTCATCCCCGTCTCCAAGGAGCACGTCACCGTCTACCTGGCCCTTCATGATGTGAGGAACAAGATGGAAGCTGTCAACAGGACAGTGGAGAGGATCATCCTCCACGAGGAGTTTGACATCCAGAACTACAACCACGACATCGCGCTGGTCAAGCTGAAGGAGAAAGTGACCATGGGGAAGTACGTCATGCCTGTCTGCCTGCCCCAGTTTGAGCACGAGCTGGAGGGGCCTCACCCCAACACGCTGGGGCTGGTGGCTGGCTGGGGGATCTCCAACCCCAACATCACGGTGGATGAGATCATCAGCTCAGGCATGAGGACCCTGTCTGACATCCTGCAGTACGTCAAACTGCCCGTGGTGCTGCACGCCGAGTGCAAGACCAGCTACGAGTCGCGCTCAGGCAACTACAGCGTGACCGAGAACATGTTCTGTGCTGGCTACTACGAGGGGGGGAAGGACACTTGTTTGGGGGACAGCGGGGGAGCCTTCGTCATCCAGGACCCAGGAACACGGAGGTGGGTGGCCCAAGGGCTGGTCTCGTGGGGCGGCCCAGAGGAGTGCGGCAGCAAGCAGGTGTACGGTGTGTACACCAAGGTCTCCAACTACGTGGACTGGGTGGAGCAGAAAACAGGCTCCTCAGAGAGATGGACATTTCTGGACCCAGAGCTGGAGAGATGAGTGACTAAGCAGCCTGCTGCCACCGCGGCTCCCTTTCTTCTTGTTGTTATTGTTTAATGTGCTCCAGACTCGGGTCTTTCGCAAGCAATAGCCACGATACTCCGCGCATGCCAAGCCCTTGCCAGGTCATTTGTTTCACTTGGTCCCGCATCCCTTCACTCGCATTCTTAGGAAATGCTTGCTAGGGAGCTGGAAGGAGGGGGCGAAGGACAAGATCTCAGCTGGTGTCCTTTGCATGTGCTGCCCATCTGCAAACCTCACCCACACTCCAGGGAACTTCCCTCCGAGCCAGGAAAAAGGCACAGCGATTGAGGCAGCGTTTCCCTGACACCAAAGCTTTGTGCTGTGTACAGGGAATTGTCCCCACCCCCAGGACTCTCTGGCCAGATCTCTCTATCAGAAGATGCAACTACAGAGCTTCAGAGCCTATGGACAGTGCAGGAAACCCATGTGGGCAGGCCTGGACCTCACAGGTTCCCCATGCTGGTGAAGCCCTTTACTGTGCAAGGAGTAGTGAGAGAGTCCTGGGAATTTGCCATTATTTTTATCGGCAAATAAACATCTCTTCTTGGTAGCATCTCAGGTGATATCCACCTGGCCCCAAAGATGTGAGGATGCATCCACATTTAACCCTAAACTTCAGCCATGGCTGCCAAGACAGCACCAGCCCAAATGGGATACCTGTATGCCACCATGTGGGATGAGTGACCCACAGAGAACACGAGGACACAGAGCAGGGTTTGAATTCACCATGACCCTGACCTCCAGCCACAAAAATTTCTCCAATCTTCTATCACCTGAAGCCCTCTCCAGTCCCACCCTGAGATTAGCTCTGTGGTTTCCAGCCACAGCAGACCTCCCAAGGAAAATTTTCCATTACAAGACGGCTTCACATCAGCTGTATCTAAGCAATACTTATTTTCAGCAGAATCATTTCATATAAAACACCCTTTCTTGCTTTCATCTCTTTCTCAGGGGCCTGGTTTGTCCCACATGACAGTTTATTCATTCTTGCAAGAACCTAGTCCCTTTTCACTGCTTTTGAGGCCCCTGATTTTGCTGATTTACAGGTTACCAGTGGTGTTCAGTGTTTGTTCATGGCTCTTGTGGCCTATTGCAGGTGTCCAAGTCCTTCTAGACTGACTCAAATCCATCTAATACACCAGAAGTATTCATATCTCCCCAGCTCCCCTCCATGGCCCATGCAGACAAATCCCAACAAGGAACAAGGTCAGGCGAGCTGTCCTTCCTTCAGCATGGGACCTTCTCCTTTATTTGCCAGCATAGCTGTAAGCAACATGCAAAAACTGCCTGCTGTGCTCTCTGCGTGCCTGTAGCCTCCTTCAGGCCTCTTTCTCCTCCTCCTCCTCCTTTGGTTTTTTCATGAAAGGAAGAAGCCAACAGTGGATGAGCCACTCTGACATTTTGCTATCACCCAAAAAGCCATTTGTAGAACTTGTAGAGGAGCAGAAGGCCTAAGGAAGGTTGAACTTTCAGATACACTATGAACTGTACTCTTGGCTATGTCATGTAACTGCAAGGTATTTTTTAATATATATGTATTTCTTTTTTTATATATATTACATTCAGTAAAATACCTGATGTCAGGTAAGGATGGTTCTCTTAGTCTTCCTCCTGAGAACAAAATAAAACTTTTGTATGTACTGAGCTTGTGCCCTGTGGCTTTTATTCCAAGAGGAACATGGTTAAGGCTGGTTGCTGATATCTGCCATGCACGCCTGCACTCCCAGGAGAATCTTCACACCATCCCTCATTCTGACGGCTGCTCAGCCTTGGCCTGTGCAGCTTCCAGGGCTGAGACAGACCCTAGCAGCCCCTGAATACAAATCACCAAAAAAAGGCGACAGAGGAGATCCTGCCTTCAATTATTTATAGCCTGAGCACATCACTGAAGATGGGGGTAGTGGCAGGAGCAGAGGGCAGCAACCTGTTTGCTGAGAATAGCAATTAAGTCTGGGTTCAATTGACATGAGGAAAAAAATATGAGGAATGTGACTTTTGCTTTAAAAGGTGTGAAAAATCAGCCCTTTCCCACTCATCGTTGGACTGAAGGAGCATGTCCTCACAGCAGAGGACCTGCAGTGAGCTCAGATGTGATCTGAGGCAGGGACAAAACTGTGCCGGACATCTCTGCATCAGAGACTGTGAGAATCTCCACTCTGGAGAGAGCTTCAAATAATGGGGGTGTTTCCTCCCATGTGCCTGTATCTGGGCTGGGAGCTGAGTTATTGATCCCTATTTTCCTATGGCACAGAACTGAAAAACAGCGCCAGGCTCCTCTGCACTGAGGCAGGGAGGAGGGCAGTGGGTCTGGCTGGCTCACAGGTCTGCTAACAGATCCAGAGACATCACGGGAGTAGAGGAGAGGACAGAGACAAAGCAAAATAAAGGCCTGGTCCCCTGAGCATTAAACCATCATCTATGAGATCTGAGCCTAGACAGCCCTGGGGCAGATTATAAAATATTGCTGCCCTTTAACAGATCGCTGGTGAATACAGAGTCTCCCCGCCTCCCATCAATAGCTCTGCCGGGAAATCCTCGACCCAGCTCAGCCCTTGCCCCCTGCTCACCAAGCTGCAGCTGCCGAGTGCCAGCCCCGAGTGACCCACGGGCACTGTGGTGGCTGCAGGGGGCTGGGGACAGACAGCTGAGGAGAAAAGTGAGACCAACAATGGGCTTTGCATTTCTGGCACCTCACAACCTGCCAGAGTGGTGAGAGCTTCTCTCCAGGGAGACAGGCGTGGAGACAGCTATTTATCAGTCTGGCTGTGGTGGAAAGCCAGCAAAACATCCCTGGGTGAAGTTTTGCTGTCCCTGGCTGCGAGTGCCAGGCATGAGCTGAGAGTTGGCTATAGCAGAGCCCAATCTCAAAAAGACGGGGCGGGGGCAGACAGGACCTGCACAGAACCCACAGAGAGAGCATCCTTCTTCCCTCATCCCCTGGGATGGGCTTGCTGCTCCCATGACAGATGGGGGCCTGGCCAGGCCAGGAGTGCTTGCTCTGAACCCCAAAAGTGCCAGGAGCCACAGAAAGCAGAATTTTGAAGGCAGTTTGCTAAGAAACTAGTCATGGCCACAACTGCATGTTGGAAAGGGGTATCCTGGAAAGGACCCCAAAAATGAGGCCATGGCTGAGAAGCCCATGCATGCACAGGTGTCTCTGAGTACTGGGGAGGAGATGAAGGGGCATGAGGGAGGGGACATGCTTGCACAGGATGAGGACACAGGCAGGCAAGAAGGCATCAGCAAGGAGGGGACGAGGGGAAAAGGAGCATATTCACACAAGGCCATGGAAGGGGGAGCACAGTGGGTGTGTAAAAGACTTGCAGGGGAGCAAGGGGTGGGTCTGCCCTTGTAAAAGAGCAGAGAGACTCAAGCAGGAAAATAGGGACCCCTGCAGGGATGTAGTCTCCACCAGAGCTGGCATCTCAGGCAGAGGTGAGGGAGTTCCCCCTCGGCAGCGGGGTGGCTGGGGAGGCACAGACAGCCCAGACACGGTCACTGGGGCTGGGAAATCCTCAGCATGGAAAGAAGAGGGCCATGGGCAATGGCAGCAGGAAACTTGGCCGTATCATTGCTGTCGGGGAGGGGCGGGCTGCTCGCAGCACAGGAGGGAAGGAAGCTGGTCCGGGCTGCCTCGTCTGAGCACAGCAGAGCACTCATCAGAGCCACTCAGACCAACCCCGGACACACGCAGGGTGGGCTCTGGGGGGGCCGTGCTGCCGGGCAGCAGCTGGCCACAGAAACAGGAGGGAGAGCATCCCCCATGAGGGGATTGCTGTCCCCTCCCAGTGCTGGCGGGTCACTGGTCCCAGTGGTTCCCGGCGCAGTGCCGGAGATCTGCAGCTCCATCTGGTGGCACCACGGCCTGGGCTGCTGAGGCTGCAGAAGAGAAGGGCTGGTGGGATAGAAGTAGATTAGAGCATTTAAAAAACCATATCCACACGGCGTCTGGACCACACAGTGTTTTCTTGTTATATTTATTTTTTTAACCAATTTCTTGTTATATTTATTTTTTTAACCGATAGCCTGCAGGTTGCCTAGCTGAGAATAAAGAGGAACCTTACAGTAGCAGAAAAAGCAGCATAAAGGGCCCTTCAAGGTACAGCAGGGAGGAGAGGACAGCACCTGGGAAGCTGCACAGCCAGGGATTGGTGCTGTGTGAGCCACACTGAGTTTGGTTATTTTTTCCTTTGGTCCATCAATCTTCCACTAATTCAGTCATGAAATCTTTAATATCATACCCATCTTCAGCATTAAATCATTTGCAAAGCAAGGAGAGGATGGATACAGCTGCCTCAGTGGTTCTGCAGATCTGCTTCTTGCTGGACTAATTTGACAGGTCTAAAATCTATTTCAGTACCCAAAGTTGTTTGGAGGTTGTTCAGTTCAACTCTTGCTGCTCAGATAAGCAGCATGGCTGCATCTCCTGGATTCTCCTGTGGCCCCATGGAGATGGATTTCCCATGGCATCCCTGGTGTCCCCAGGGCACTCCCAGGTGACAGCCCTCACAATGCTCTCTCTCACAGGGCACACCATGCCCCCCACCACCACTTGCTCACCCCAGGATCCTGGAGAAGACAGACCTTGGTAACCATGGTAGTGTTTGAGGCTTGTGATGCACAGGCTACAGACTATTTCAAAAGTTTATTCACATTGCTGTGGTTTAAGCTCAGCCAGTAACTAAGTACAGCACAACCTCTCACTCAGTCAAACCACCCTGCTCCAGTAGGATGGGGAGGAGAATTGGAAAAGGGTAAAGTCTGTGAATTGAGATAAGAACAGTTCGATAATTGAAATAAAGTAAATATTATTAATAATAACAATCATGAACTGAGAGATAGAGAGACATAATAAAGACAAGAGATGCACACTACAGTTATTCATCACCCTCTGACCGATGTCCAGCCCATCCCCCAGAGCAATCAGCCCATCCCAGCCAACTCCTCCAGTTTATCCCCTGAGCAGGATGATCTAT